GCAGCAGCAGGCCAGGCGCATGCTGCTGCTGCTGCTGCTGCTGCTGCTGCTGCTGCTACAACAACTGCTGCTGCTGCTGCTGCTGCTGCTGCTGCTGAGGGCGGGGGCCGGGTGTACAGAAGCGCCTCCACGCCCTTGGCGAGCATGCAGCAGCAGCAGCAGCAGCAGCAGAAGCAGCAGCAGCAGCAGCAGCAGCAGCAGCAGGGAGCAGCAGCAGCTGAAGCCAGACGTGCTGCCAGCAGCAGCAGCAGCAGCAGGGGCCCCAGTGCGAGCTGGGGCCCCTCGTTTGCTGCAGATGTAGAGGGGGGCCCCCCTTAGTGTCAATGGAAGATCAGATATTTGGGGGGCCCCCGGGGGGCCCCCAGGGGTTCTTGGGGCAGCAGCAGCAGCAGCAGCAGCAGCAGCAGCAGCATAAGCAGATTACAGAAGCGACGCAAACAACACGTAAACCCTAAACCCTAAACCCTAAACCCTAAATTTTTTTAGAGTAGTGCTGGTTCGCAGATGCTGTGGTGACAGGGGTTTAGGGTTTAGGGCTTAAGACTTAGGGCTTGGGCTTTGCAGATGCCGTGTTGGCAAGGGTTTAGGGTTTAGGGTTTAGGGTTTAGGGTTTAAGGGTTTAGGGTTGGGGTTTGCAGATGCGGTGCTCGCAAGAGAAGAGCTGGCAGCAAATAGGGAAGCAAAGAAGCAGCAGAGGATGAAGGAAAAGCTTCTGGAGGTTGAAAGTGAGTCAAGGGTTTAGGGTTTAGGGTTTAGGGTTTAGGGTTTAGGGTTTAGGGTTTAGGGTTAGAGTTTCGTTTTGGCTGTTGTCTTTTGTGGGTGTGAAGGACGGAGGGCGCAAGAAGTGAAACAGCAGCAAGACAAACTCGCGCTGCCGGGTAAGGGTTTAGGGTTTAGGGTTTAGGGTTTAGGGTTTAGGGTTTAGGATGCAGGGTTTAGGGTTAGGGTTTAGGGTTTAGGGTTTGGCGGGAGTCGAGGAAGCTGTCAGGACGGCTTCAGCGGGGCCCTACAGTTTGCTTTCGAGGTTTCGTGCTGCAGCGCACAAGCTCTAGGGTTTAGGGTTTAGGGTTTAGGGTTTAGGGTTTAGGGTTTAGGGTTTGCATTTCAGAGGAGTTGAAGCAAGAGCTAGATCGATGGGCCAAAACAACTGACGGCAGTTTCAAGGACGTGCGAACGCTCCTCAGCACTCTGCACGAAGTAAACCCTAAACCCTAAACCCTAAACCCTAAACCCTAAAAAGGGGTTTGCGGTATGGGCGTGATGGTTTTTCAGCGCGAAAAGCCCAGAAAACGCGTCACAGATGCAGCATTTGAATGTATTCATCCTTTTCATTTATTTATTTATTTATTGATTTATTGATTTATTTATTTATTTATTTATTCATTTATTTATTTATTTATTTCTGTTTTTATTAATTCAGGTTCTCTGGGAAGAAGCCGCGTGGGAACCCGCCTCCCTCAGCAGCCTCATGTTGGCCCCGACGCTGAAGTTGAAATTCCGGTAATTAAAATAAATAAATAAATAAATAAATAAAACTAAATAAATAAATAAATAAATAAATAAAAATAAATAAATAAATAATAAATATGAATAAATAAGTAAATAAATAAATAAATAAATAAAAGTTTTAAAGGGAGGTGAAGAGGCAACCGCAGGTGGTCGAGTTGCGGTGTACGTACACCGCAAACTCGGGAAGGTCGAATAAATAAAAATAAAAAAGAATTTAAATGAATTAATTTAATTATTTCTTTTAATTAAAAACTTTCAATAAATCATTTTAAATAAATAATATATTCTCTCCATTTACTTGATTAATCAATTCATTATTTCATTAATTCATTTATTAACTGACTAATTAACTAACTGATTAATTAATTGACTACTTAATTAATTAATTAATTAATTAAATAGTCAATGAGTAATATTATAATTAATTAATTAACTAATTAATTGGCTAATTAATTAATTAATTAATTAATTAATTGGCTAATTAATTAATTAATTAATTAATTAATTAATTAATTAATTAATTAATTAATTGGCTAATTAATTAATTGGCTAATTAATTAATTAATCAATTAATTAATTAATCAATTAATTGGCTAATTAATTAATTAATTAATTAATTAATTAATTAATTATTTTATTTATTTATTTGCAGGCAAGCTTTGCTGTTATCTCACCCCGACAAACACCAGGGGGCTTCTCCCTCTCGACAGGTAAATCAAATTAAAATCATTTAATTAAAATAATTTAATTAAATCAAATTAATTTAATTAAATCAAATTAATTTAATTAAATCAAATTAAAATAATTTAATTCAATCAAATTAAATTAAATTAAATCAATTAAATCAAATCAAATTAAAATAATTAAATTAAATTAAATTAATTAAATTAAATCTAACGATTAATTTAATTAAATCAATTGAATTAAATCAAGCCAATTTAATTAAATTATATTAATTAAATTACATTGATTAAATTAAGTAAATTAAATTAAATTAATTGAACTATTTGAAATAAAGTATATTTAAACAAAAAAACAAAGTAACTAATTAATGTGATTAAATGATAAATTAAATACAAGCAGATGAGAAGAGTCTTTATTTAATAAATAATTAATAAATTAAAAGAATTTATTAGATAAATAAAATAATTAATTAATAAATAATTTAATTTAATTTAATTTAATTTAATTTAATTAATTAGTGATTTAAATTGTTAAATTCAAATATAAATGTATTGGCGAATTGGCAACCACAAATATTAAACAACCCAGGGCTGCCAATCTCTGCTGCTGCTGCTGCTGCTGCTGTTGCTGCTGCTGCTGCTGTTGCTGCTGCTGCTGTTGCTGCTGCTGCTGCTGTTGCTGTTGCTGCTGCTGCTGCTGCTGTTGCTGTCGTTCCTGCTGCTGTTGTTTCTGCTGCTGCTGCTACCACTACTGCTGCTGGCACTACTACAACTCCTACAACGACAACTACTGCTGCTGCTGCTGCTGTTGCTGCTGCTGCTGCTGCTGCTGCTGTTGCTGCTGCTGCTGCTGCTGCAGTACCGAGCTGAGCGGATCTTTCAGGCTTTGAACGAGTCCTTTAAGTTGGTGGCGCCTTGAGGTGTCTGTACACCTGGGCGCCGTGGGTTTTCTTTGAGTTGTTTCTTTTATTTATTCCTTTTATTTATTTATTTCTTTTATTTATTTATTTATTTTATTTATTTATTTCTTTATTTCTTTTCTTTTGTTTATTTCTTTTCCAAAGTCTTGAGGGCCTTTAGTGGCAAATAAAAGAAAAAATAAATCTCGAAAGAAGCAGCAACAGAGAACTCCAAACTTTTTCTTTATTTCTTTTTATTTCATTTTAATTTAATTTCTTTATTTCTTTTATTTCATTTTAATTTATTTTCTTTATTTCTTATTATTTCTTTTCAATTTAATTTCTCTAATAAGGAAACGCCAGTCTACTTCCATTTAATTCTTTTCTATTTGATTGATATATTAACTCCCGTAGCTAGCTAGCTGGCTGGCTAGCTAGCTAGCTAGCTAGCTAGCTGGCTAGCTAGTTGGCTAGCTAGCTAGCTAGCTAGCCAGCTGGCAAGCTGGCTGGCCGGCTAGCTGGATGGCTGGCCAGCTAGCTAGCTAAACTATTTATTTATCTGTCTAGCTAGCTAGCCAGTTAACTAGCTAGTTGTCTTGCTGGCTAGCTAGCTAGCTAGCTATATGGGCAGCCAGCTAGCTGCAGGAATGGCCAGCTGGCTAGTTAGCTGGGGTCAGCGAGCCCGCTAATTGGCTAGCTAGCTAGCTAGCTAGCCAGCTAGCTAGCTAGCCTCAGCTAGCCAACTAGTTGAACAGCTAGCTAGCTGGCTAGCTGGCTAGCCAAGTAGCTGGCTAGCTGGGCCTGGAGCAGCTGGCTGCGGGGCCTTCGCGGTGGCGCTGCAGCTAGCAGCAGCAGCAACGACTTGCTGCAGCAGCAGCTAGCTAACTGCTGCAAAGAGCCGCCGCAGGTTGCGATCTGCTGCTGCTGCTGCTGCTGCTGCTGCTGCTGCTGGAGCGAATCTGATCCTGAGTTTGCACGAGGGTTTAGGGTTTAGGGTTTAGGGTTTACGTTCGACAGCTAGGGTTTAGCGGGTATTGATTTATATTTAGTGAAAACTGCAAACACAGCTGCAGCAGCAGCAGCAACAAAATAAAAAATAAAATAAATTTATTTTATTTTTATAAATTGATTTCCATTTTTGTTTACTTGGGGTCTCTGGGCCTCGCCAACAGCAAGACAGGCGGCCCCACAGCAGCAGCAGCAGCAGCAGCAGCAGCAGCAGCAACAACAACAACCATTGCAGGAAATACAAGCTTTTAAGTAAAAAGCTGCAGCAGCAGCAAAGCCGCAGCAGCAGCACATCTGCAGCAGCTGCAGAACCCCCTGGCTCAGCAGCAGCAGCATCAGCAGCAGCAGCAGCATCAGCAGCATCAGCAGCAGCAGCAGCAGCAGCATCGCCACTACCACATCAGCAGCAGCAGCGGCAGCAGCAGTAGCAGCCTAGCCATCGTACAGCAGCAACAGCAGCAGCATCGCCACCATCAACAGCAGCAGCAGCAGCAGCAGCGTCGCCATCACCAACAGCAGCAGCAGCAGCAGCAGCAGCAGCGTCGCCATCACCAACAGCAGCAGCAGCAGCAGCAGCGTCGCCATCACCAACAACAGCAGCAGCAGCAGCGTCACCAGCAGCAGCAGCAGCAGCGTCGCCATCACCACCACCGCCACCCCCCCTCCACCAGCAGCAGCAGCAGCAGCAGCAGCAGCAGCAGCAGCAGCAGCAGGATGCAGCGGGCGTGCGAAATGGTGGTTTCTTTGCTGCGGCCGCAGCAGCAGCAGCAGCAAGCTCCTTACCATGTCTTGAATGTTCAGATTTTGGCGCTGCTGCAGCGCGAAGGACTCATAAGGGGTTTTGCTGTCAACGGCAGCAAAATCAATATTCTCCTCAAGCACTACCAGGGCGCCCCGATGCTGCTGCTGCTGCTGCTGCTGCTGCTGCTGCTGCTGCTGCTGCTGCTGCTGCTGCTGCTGCTGCTGCTGCTAAATCTCCACTTCTGCTGCTGCTGCTGAATCTCCACTTCTGCTGCTGCTGCTGAATCTCCACTTCTGCTGCTGCTGCTGCTGCATCGCCTCGGCCTCCGCTGCTGCTGCTGCTGCTGCTGCTGCTGCTGCTGCTGCTGCTGCAGGTGATTCGGAACATCCGGGTGGTGTCGAAGCCTTCGCGGGCGATTTGGCTGACAGCAGCAGAATTAAAAGAAAAGACAAAATTTAATTCTGGACTTTGGCTGCTGCAGACTTGCTGCGGTGTACAGACACACCGCGACTGCATGCGCTTGGGACTCGGAGGCAAAGTCCTCATGGCCGTCAACAACGGCTTCCAGCACTTCTCCTGATGCTGCTGCTGCTGCTGCTGCTGCTGCTGCTGCTGCTGCTGCTGCTGCTGCTGCTGCAGGTGGCGCTGCTGCTGCTGCAGCAGCCCAGCACATGCAGCAGCACGAGCAGCAGCAGCAACACTAATAGCAGCAGCAGCACTAGCAACGGCAGCAGCACCCGCAGTTTCTGCAGTTGCAGCAGCAGCTGCTGCAGCAGCATCAGCTGCACCCGTAGCAGCAACTGCACGCGCAGCAGCTCCAGCAGCAGCAGCAGCAAGTGCACGCGCAGCAGCTCCAGCAGCAGCACCAACTGCACGCGCAGCAGCAGCAGCAACTGCACGCGCAGCAGCTGCAGCAGCAGTAGCAACTGTTGCAGCAGCAGCAGCCGCTGTTGCAGCAGCAACAGCCGCTGTTGCAGCAGCAGCAGCAGCTGTTGCAGCAGCAGCAGCAGCTGTTGCAGCAGCAGCAGCAGCTGTTGCAGCAGCAGCAGCTGCTGTTTGTTGCAGGATGTTTAGGGTTTTGATTTAAATTTCTTTTTTGTGAAATCTTTCGCTTCAGGTGTACAGACACCCCAACTCCAGCGCATGCGTTTTCCGGGATTTCTTTTTTGAATTCTTTTCGAAGAAATAAATAAATAAAATAAATAAATAAAATAAATAAATAAATAAATAAATAAATAAATAATAAATAATAAATAGATAGATAATAAATAAATATAAAATAATTAATTAAAAAGGGAAAAGGCAAAAAGCTGTTCGGAGAATGAGAAAGTTAAACAAATCAAAGATGAAAATAAAAAGAAAACAAATTAATAAAAAGAAATAAAACGGTTTTAAATAAAATAAAATAAAAATAAAACAGAAGTGAAATAAATAAAAGGAAAATAAAATAAAAAAATAAATGGAAAATTAAGAGAGGAACAGCGGAATAAATAAATTCGAAAAAATCAAAAAATAAAAATAAGAAAATCAAATCGGAGTCGCTGGTTGGCTGCTACTGTTGCTGCTGCTGCTGTTGCTGCTGCTGCTGCTGCTATTGGCGCTGTTGCTGCTGCTGTTGCTGCAGCAGCAGCAGCAGCAACAGCATTTGGAAGCAAAAGAGATCTGGTGGAAATCCATCAAAAATAAAAGTTTTATTTCCACATGCAAACCTTCAGGTGTACGTACACCTGGGCTTTCCATTTGCTTTTTCTGCATTTCCGGATTTTCCATTTTTGAAATTTAATAAAACCAAAAGTTCCATTTATTTATTTAGTCTTTTATTTTTATTTCTCTAAAAGATCTAAAATATATTAATTGGATATTTAAGTAAATATATTTTACTACATATTTAAATAAATATATTAGTGGAGAGTTAAATAAAAGTTTTTATAAGAATTAAATAAATATATCGACAAGACTTGTATTGCTTTAATTGCATTTATTTATTATTCGATTTATTTTCTTTGTTTAAATTAATTAATTAAAAATAAAAATGTAGAAGTGGTCTATTAAATCCAATAAATACAATAAATACAATTGTCAAAATAAATACAATAAATATAATAAATGTAATAAAACAATAAATAAAGCTGGTGGAATTAATAATGACAAATGGAATAAAAATAATATATAAAATATTCCAACGAATATAATAACTGAAAGAAATCCAGAAAATCCAATAAAAGTAATAAATGGAAGTAAGAAATGCAAATTGAAAATCTATTTTAAAATAAATCCAGTTAAAACAAACTATTTCCTTTACTATTCAATTTAATTTAATTAATTAGCTAATTAATAAACTTATCCTTTTATTTATTTATTTCTTTTTTTTTATTTTGTTTAAACAAAGTGCATGCATGCAGCTGTACATACACCCCGTTGGCACCTCGAGTGCATTCCATCGGTTTTGGACTTTTTCAAAAATAAATTTAATTAAAGTTTCATTAAAAGTCTTTTAATTGGCGAAATAAATGGAAATAAAAGCATTAAATGCATTTCAGGTGTACGTACAGCAGAGGCGAAAGCGCATGCATTCAAAAGAGTGCGAAAAGTTGAGGTGTACGTACACCTCAGAAATGCGGGTTTCCGGAAAAAACTGTTTTTCCGCAAATTGCACCATTTTGAGTTTTTCTTTTCAATTCTTTTGTCCTTTTTGCATTTAATTGAAGATTTTGCATGCATTTGATGTCCCTAATTGCAATATTTGGCAAATTTGAACAGATTTCGTTCTTTCTACTCCCCTGTTTCCCCTGAAGACTATTCAGACTTGAATTAAGTTTTCAAAAAGTTTCTTTTGGCATTCAAATGCTCTCAGCCCCACAAATAATCCATTTGAGTCCTTTTGTCTTTTTAATTTCTTTTTAATTTCTTTTTAATTTCTTTTTAATTTCCATTTAATTCCTTTCATCCTTTTATTTCTTTTTACTTCCTCAACTCTGCATTTCTTCGTTTCTTAACTTGGACTTTTCGCAGTTAGAAAATTTTTTCTTTTGTTTCTTTTGTGTCCCTTTTGTCGCCAAAAGAACTCCAACTGTTTTTAAATCCACTTTCATCAAAACAATTTTCATTTTCATTTTTATTTTATTTTTCTTTTTTATTTTCTTTTTTTTTGCTTTCTTTCTGCTGCTGCGGATGCGCCGCAATGTAAAACACCAAAAACAAAATGCAGCAAATTGTGCAGCTCCAGAAGATCTGAAAAACAAAAAAACAAAAAAAACAAAAAAGCAAATTAAAAAGACATTACAGAAACAAAAAAGCAAAAAAGAAATAAAAGGAAATTAAAAAGGCAACGGGAGATAAAAAAGAAATTAAAAAAAGACAAAAGGGGACAAAAAGAGACAAAAAAGCGTCACCAGCAGCAGCAGCAGCAGCAGCAGCAGCAGAAGCAGCAGCCTTATCACCATTGACGTAAGCAGCAGCAGCAGCCGCCTGATCATCCTCGGCAGCAGCAGCAGCAGTAGCAGCAGCAGCGACCTGGTCACCATCAGCAGCAGCAGCAGCAGTTTTATCACAATCAGCAGCAGCAGCAGCAGCAGCAGCAGCAGCAGCAGCAGCAGCAGCAGCAGCAGCAGCAGCAGACCTTGACCCATTGGGGGCAGGGGGGGTGGGGCTGCAGCGCCCCTTCGAGAAAATAAAATTTTAAAATCAAAAGAGACTCTGTGGAGATCACCGCGATGTCCAGCCAGCACTGCACCCCCATGCGCGGGCAGTCCCTGCAGCAGCAGCAGCAGCAGCAGCAGCAGCAGCAGCAGCAGCAGTAGCAGCAGCAGCGGGGGTGAGAGCAGGAGGAGGGGGGGGCAGCAGCGGGTGCAGCGGCAGCGCCGGCAAGTGCAGCGGGAGCAGCAGCAAATGCAGAGCAGCAGCAGCAGCGAATCAGCAGCAGCGCGAGCGTTGGCAGCAGCAGCAAACGCAGCAGCAGCAAATACACCAGCAGCACAAGCGTTAGCAGCAGCAGCAAACGCATTAGCGAAAGCAGCACAAGCGTTGTCACCAACAGCAGCAGCTGCAGCACAAGCATTAACGGCAGCAGCAACTGCAGCAGCATCCGCAAGTTCATCAGCGGCAGCCAGTGCAGCAGCAGCAAGTACAGCAGCAGCAGCGAATGCAGCAGCAGCAGCAGCAAGTGCAGCAGCAGCAGCAAGTGCAGCAGCGGCAGCAAGTGCAGCAGCAAGAGCAAGTGCAGCAGCAGCAGCAAGTGCAGCAGCAGCAGCAAGCGCAGCAGCAAGAGCAACAGCAGCAGCAAGTGCAGCAGCAGCAGCAAGTGCAGCAGCAGCAGCAGCAGCAGCGCGTCTCACGGGTCTGTTGCAACGACGTAGAACTCCCTAGTTCCTGCTGCAGCAGCAAATGCCAGCAGCGCGGTGCGCAGCAGCACGAGCCAGTGTTTGCTGCTGAGGCCCAAAATGGCTTTTAAAAAGAAAACATTTAAATCCAAAAGATTTACAAACAAACACAAAAACAAAGTCAAACAGAAACTCCGCGCAGAAGCCAGCATCGACGGCCACCGGTACCTCGTGCTGCAGCAGCAGCAGCAGCAGCAGCAGCAGCAGCAGCAGCAGCAGCAGCAGGACACGGCAGTGCTTTCTCATTTGCTGCTCGCCGTTTGCTGTCTTCGAAGCTTTTGTTTGCATGCAGAAAGAAAAACAAGTTGGGAAATCCTTGCACACAAATAAAAGCCAAGGAGATGCTGAAGCAGCAGCAGCAGCAGCAGCAGCAGCAAATGCAGCAGCAGCAGCAGCAGCAAATGCAGCAGCAGCAACAGGAGCAGCCGCAGGAACAGGAGTAGCGGCACAAGGAGGAACAGGGGAAGCGGCAGGAGCAGCAGCAGGGACGGGACCAGCAGCAGCAGCAAGTGAAGCTGCTGCAGCAGCAGCAGCAGCAGCAGCAGCAGCAGCAGCAGCAGCAGCGGGGTTAGTTGTCTGTCTGACAGTTCGTAAGGCATGAATTGTTTGAGAGTTTCTTTGAGGGGGGATCGCGCATCTTTTTGCTGCTGCTGCTGCTGCTGCTGCTGCCACATTTGCTGCCGCTCGTGGAGTTTGAGCAGCTCCTGCTGCAGCTCCTGCCGCTGCTGCTGCTGCTGCTGCCGCTGCTGCTGCTGCAGCTCCTTGTCCGCTGCTGCTGCTGCTGCTGCTGCTGGCGTCTCCTTGGGGGAGTCGCACATGGGCGAAGAGGACGCGGCTGCGGCCACCGCTGCGGGCGTCCGCTGCTGCTGCTGCTGCTGCTGCTGCTGCTGCTGCTGCTGCTGCTGCTGCTGCTGCTGCTGCTGGGGGGGGCTGGGAGAAGCAGGACTGATGAAGGAAAAAGACTTTGCTGCTGAGTCTCCCAAAGCTTTCAAAGACAAAGAATAATCTTTGTGCCAATTGTAATGCAGCATTTGAAACCTCCGACAAAAAAATAAACCCAAAAACATCCCCAAAAAGTTGCAGCCAAACACGTCCAGCAGCAGCTGCAGCAGCAGCAGCAGCAGCAGCAGCAGCAGCAGCAGCAGCAGCAGCAGACACACAACTTCAACTCACTTTTTTATTTTTTAATCCTTTTTAGTGCTTTCTTTTTCTAATTCTTTCTTTCTTTTCTAAATCTATTTCTTTAAAAGATCTTTTCTTTTTATTTCTTTTTTTAATTCTCTTTTCCCATTTTAAATTCTATTTCTTTAAAATCTTTTTAAAACTATTTCTTTTAAAAGCTCTCTTTCTTTTTATTCTTTCTTTCTTTTTTAAACTTTCTTTTTTTAAAAGCCTTTCTTCTTTCCTTCTTCTCTGGTGGCAGCAGCTGCTTCGAAACAAAACCAACAAACTAGGGTTTAGGGTTTAGGGTTTAGGGTTTAGGGTTTAGAGGGCAAGAAAGCTCTATAGTGCCGCACGAAATTGAAAAGGACTTTTAAATTAATTAAAATGAATTTGAAAATTAAATAACACCTCAACTGAAAAAGTCCCGCTTCGGAGACCCTGCAAAAGCCAAACCCTAATTTAGGGTTTGGCAAACAGCTAATCTGCCTCCAAGCCCTAAAGCCCCACTCCAAAAAAGGACAGCAGCAAAATCAGTTTTATGAGCAGATTAAACGCTAAAAACCCATAAACCCTAAACCCTAAACCCTAAACCCTAAACCCCAAACCCTACCCTCCAAACCCTAAACCCTAACCCCTAAACCCCAAACCCTAAACCCTAGCCCCATAAACCCTACCCGCCAAGCCCCTAGACCCCAAGCCCCCAGCCCCTAGCCCCTAGATGAAACCCTAAACCCTAGCGTGTGGGGAGCAAACCCTAATTTAGGGTTTGGGCCTGGGACGCACGTGGTCCCACCAGCACTCGGCGAAGTTGGGGAGAATGTGTTTGAGAGAAAGTTCGAAAAGTTCGAAAGAAATCGACAAAAGCCACAAAAGGGTTTTCTCGCGAAGTACCAAACCCTTGACAATCCACCCGAAGAAGTGCGCCAAAACAAATACATCCATCTTTTCCTGAAGCGTTAAATCACTCGCAAAACCCTAATTTAGGGTTTAGGGTTTAGGGTTTAGGGTTTAGGGTTTGGGGTTTGAGACAAGCCACAACACGGACACTACACCCTTGACAATCCACCCGAAGAAGTGCGCCAAAACAAATACATCCATCTTTTCCTGAAGCGTTAAATCACTCGCAAAACCCTAATTTAGGGTTTAGGGTTTAGGGTTTAGGGTTTGGGGTTTGAGACAAGCCACAACACGGACACTACACCCTTGACAATCCACCCGA